ATAATAAGGAACCCTAAGAGGCAGGTCTTTTCGGGCACAGGTACAAGTCATAAAACCCCACACCCTAAATCCTGAACCCTGAACCCTAAACCCTAACCCCAAACCCTACCAGTCATAAAACCCCAAACCCAGAACCCTAAACCCTAACCCTAAACGCTAAGCCCTAAACCCTAGAAGTCATAAAAGCTCCCGAGCCTTCGCCCTGCACCCCAGCAGCACCAAAAGCACCCAACAACCCTATTTTCGCTCGGAACGCCATGACAAACAGTTTTAGACGCCGAAACGCTAAACCTAAACCGCTAAATTTACACCGAAAGAAGCCCCGAATTCTCAAACCCGTAAACCCTAAACTTCCAACCCCTAAACCCTAAACCCTTAAACCCTAATCCCCAAACCCGAAATCCGCCCGACACTCTTCTCGCCTCTGTTGGGGTAGGCGGGCGCAGTCGAGCGCTCAGCGAGACCAAGCAGGCTCTGCTGCAGAGCCTGCGAGCGCACTCCGGAGAGGTCGCCAAGCTTTCATCGCCGAGCTAGACACTAATGTGCCCGCGAATCCTTCGCGACTTGAAGCGCCCTCCAACTGCACAAGGAAAGGGGCCTCCCAATCCTGCATGACTTGCAGCGAGCCTGCAGAAGCCTTTGCAAATGGACAAGGATTGAGGCCCCCGAATCCTTCACGACTTGAAGTGCCCTCCAACTGCACGACGACTTGAAGCGCCCAATCCTTCACAATTTGAGGCGAGCTTGGAGAAACTTTGCCATGTGAACAAGGATTGGGCCCCCCCGAATCCTTCACTTGAGGCAGCCTTCACCTGGACCAAAAGCCCTCCAATAAAGTGGCGCCGGACAGGGTTCCGGCCTCTTGTGGGCGGTGCTAGAAACTTGAACACGTTTCCAATTCCAAGCGGACCAGGAGCCCTTCCACACATCCAAAGATCATTGACAGGGCCCTTTGGCCAAGAACATTCCCCAGCGCAAACCCTAAATGTTGCTTGGACAGGGATCGGAGGCCAAAGTTCGGCAAATCAATGACAGGGCCCTTCGGCCAGAACGTACCCCGCCGCAAACCTTAAAATTGTTTGGACAAGGATTTGGGCCCCCCAATCCGTCAAGACTTGAGCGAGTTCACATGTATGGAAACGGAGCGGCACGGATTGGCCAATCCAGTCCTTCACGACTTGATGCGAGTCCAGGGAGCCCCTCCTGACGTAGCCCATTGCTTGAATAGTTTCCACGTGGACCAGGAGCCGGTATCCGATCGAAATATCAAGGTCAGGGCCCTTTCGGCCCAGAACGCACCCTAGCACAATTCCTACATGTTGCTTGGACAGGGTTGGGGGCCTCGCAATCCGACACGACTTGAGGCGACTCTGGGGAGTTTATTTGTTGGCTGGCTTGGATTTTGGCTGGCTCCGTTTTGGCTTGCTGTGAGTCGTGCATGAGGGTGGCCTTGCGGTGGGCATGTTTTTATACTACAGCGCACTGACCAGCACTCGACCTGTCAAGCACACCTTAAACCCTAAACCGCAAACCCTAATCCCTAAACACCCAAACCCCTATCCCTGATAGGAACCCTTATGGATCCCTTATAATTAGACCCCTTTAAAGGAACTCTATCCTAAGCCCCCAAACCCAAACCCGGCCTCCAGTTCCTTGAGGATCGCCGTGCCAAGCGCCGTGCTTGTTCGCGGCAGGCTGCCGAGGCCGCGCTTGCTGCAGGTCCCCGAGACTGATTACAAGATATTAAAGTGTCCTAAACCCGTAACTTTATAGAAGATCCCTGTAAGGAATTCGAAATATTCCTCAACTAAGGGATAGTTGTGTATCTGAGGTCTCGAGCAAAAGCATGAGGGGAGCTGCCATCGGCTTGCGTTTAAAGGTAAGGGTGCTAAGAATAGGCTTCCTTTAAAGGGAAATTGATTATAGAGCCCATCGTACCCTTAAATGGTCTAGGGTGCTGACATCGGCTTCCTTTTGAAGGAACTTGGGTTTTAGGGTGAGGGGAGCTGACATCGGCTTCCGTTTAAAGGTAAGGGTGTTTACTATAGTGTTTAAGGAGCTGACGTCGGCTTCCGGTTTAGGGTTTAGGGAACAGGGCGAGGGGAGCTGAAATCGGCTTCCTTTCAAAGGTAAGGGTACGAAATATGGGTTTCCTTCAATTGGAACCTTTTTTACACAGCCCCATAGTACCCTCAAAAGGACTAGGGAGCTGACGCCGGCTTCCTTTTGAAGGGACTTAGGGCGACTTGGGGTGAAGGGTTAAGTGTGAGGGGAGCTGACATCGGCTTCCGTTTAAAGGTAAGGGTACTAAGTATAGGCTTCCTTTAAAAGGAGCGCTATTATAGAGCCCCAAAATACTCGTAACAGGTTTAGGGAGCTGACATTGGCTTCACTAAAGAGGTTGAGGGGTTGGGGTGAAGGGAGCTGACATCGGCTTCCGTTTAAAGATAAGGGCTCGAGTTATAGGCTTCGTTTGAAGGGGATTTTTTCTAGAGCCCCGTAATACTCTTGAAGGTTTAGGGAGCTGACATTGGCTTCCTTTTGAATGGGTTTAGGGGGGCTGACATCGGCTTCCTTTCAAAGGTAAGGGTACTAACTATAGGCTTCCTTAAAAGGGAACCCTTCATAATACGTCCTTAAGGTAATGCAGGGTTTATATCATCAACTTTACATGGTCTATCATCACCCCCTCAGGAGAGCGAAATTGCAATTTGTCCACCTTCCTTCTTGTACGTACTATGCGGGCCTAAATAATTACCAAGTCTATCTTGGGGATTCCTCATTATATTTATGGTATAATGGACCCCAAAACCTTATTGTAATTATTAGCGCGCCTATAGTAGGTCTCCCAAGAAGACCCTTTTGCCCTTTTGTGGGGGTCTCCTTCTTGACACTGAATAGTAGAGAAAGGAACGGCATGAACGGTCTCTTGGGGATCCCAAACGCCTCCTGCCTAGGAAGTCTTGAAGGGGTTTGTACAACACAACTAAATAGGGTGTTAGCTTGCGCTTTTGCGAGGATTCTCTGTAGTTCTTTCTAGGGTTCTAGAGACTGTTACAAAGGTGTTGTTCAGCTTCTTGTCTGAGGGCGGGCTATAATGAGCTGGGCTTAGAGTTTTATGCGTTAGGGTTTAGGGCGTTTAGGGTGGATATTTGTTGGATGGGTGAGTATCTCCAGCACTAGATTCTACAGGGGTTCTACACGCTCAGTTTAAGTAAGAGCTTTTCAGCCACATGCAGCCGGTCTGAGGCCCCTCAGCCTAAACCTTAAAGTCCTGTTCAAGTGCATAGAGGAGCTCGGCCAAAGAGTGATGGGGTAATGCTCCTTTAAAGGGCACAATTTGAGGCTGAGAGTTTCGGATTTAGGGTTACTGTAGGATACTTTGAAGTACCTTATATATGCCATATAGAATATATATACGGTACCATTTAGGATACCCTTTAGAATCCTTTGGGGGGATGTTGCGCTCACAACCTGGATGTAGGTTTTTGGGCGAGACCCGCGGTTCGTGATAGATCCTCGGCTGACTAGGATCCATATGGGAGTTTCAGAAAACAGGGGACCCTTAATGTAGCACCCTAAATAGTAGGATCCTTATTACAAGGACCCCAGAATAAGGTACCCCTAATTTTCGGAACCCCCCATATGAAGAGTTGGGTATCACAGCCATGTGGGCGGATTTATACGCTTTGCAAGGCTCGCGGCCTAAAGGGTTCAGTGCTTTTGGGTGTATTTTCTAATGGAAGTCCTAGCCGTAGAGGATAGGATACTTGTATACAGTACCTTTGTTGCTAATCTGAGGACAAACCCTAAACCCTAAACCCTAAACCTTAAACCCTAAGTTGAGTCGCCGAACTGTCCAGCTTGGACCTCCGAGGCGCCACGCCCTGAGCCTTTCGGAGGCGAAGTAACTAATGTAGGGGCCTGAATCTTGGGGGTCCTTTTTTAAGTATAGCATAATATACCCCCACAACCCTATTCTATTTATTATGGCCCCTATATTAACTAGACGCATGTACTCTGTCTCGTTTCACCGCAAATTTGGGCCGTGGCGATGCAGGCTTGTGTTTCCGCTCCCATCAGCCAGCTGCAGATCGGTGCAATCTGGGTCGTTTCATGCATCTCCGGAGTGAGGAGGGTTTTCGAGTCATATGGGAACTAAGGACTTAGGGTAACCTCGGGACAAGAAGTCTTTGGATTTCACGCTGCGGCTTGAGCGCTGGGTTGGATCACGAGGGAATGCAATGTTATCATCCTCCGTACGTCTCGTAACCCAGAGACTCCCAAATCACGAATTTAAGGAACATACCTTCAATTACAAGTTAGGAGCCCGAATAATTAATCAGGTATAGTCAGTATAAGCCGTATATCTTGTCAGGGTTGCTGTTATAATCTAAAGTCCCCTAAACCTTGAACCCTAAACCCCTAAACCGCAAACCCTAAACCCTAAACCCCTAAACCCTAAACCGTGGGGTGTTGGAGTCTTTGGGTCTGGCAAGACAGCTAGAGCCAGGCTCGGCTCTGTGACGGGAGGGCACTGACTTCGGACTCGATGCTTTGAGCTTCTCTGCAGTAGTAATCGTAGTAGTCAGCAGTATTAGTAGTAGTAGTAGTAGTAGTCGTCGTAGTAGTAGTTGTAGTTGTTGTAGTAGTTGTAGTAGTAGTTGTGGTATAGTGTTGTAGTAGTCGTAGTAGTCGTAGTAGTCGTAGTAGTAGTAGTAGTAGTAGTAGTAGTAGTAGTAGTAGTAGTCGTAGTAGTAGTAGTAGTAGTAGCAGCAGTAGCAGTAGCAGTAGCAGTAGTAGTAGTAGTAGTAGTAGTAGTAGTAGTAGTAGTAGTAGTAGTAGTAGTAGGAGTAGTAGTAGTAGTAGTAGTAGTAGTAGTAGTAGTAGTAGTAGTAGTAGTAATTTCTTTCTTTCTTGGTGAGCATGGGTCCAGGGGACGCGCTCCTCGCAATGAATTCGACAGTGAAACAGGTGAAATGGGGAGTCGGTGCATAAGCTCAATCCAAAGGAGAGCGAATGTACCCTGACTCGACCCTGAAACCGCAAGACAGAAGCCACTCAGGGACCGGGGCAAGGCACTCTGAGGCAAGGGATGAGAGGCGGAAGGCGACAGGATGTGACGTGGATTGCTGCAGGGCAGCGCCAACAGAGTCACACGCGGCTTCCAGCCAGTCTGCTTGCCGTCTGGCGGCTGCCAACGGCACACTAGCCCTGAAAGGGTAAACAAAGTCCCTAAGCGGTGGGTCACTGATCGTGACTGTGCAGACATGCCCGGTAAGGACGAAACCGATTTTGCCAGGTCCGGCCGTAGGCAAAGGCGGGCATGCCACAGCTGGCATGGGGGGATGCTTCGGAGCCCGGAAGTCATCACACAAGAGTTCGGGGTCGAGAAGCAAACGGACATCCGCTGCGAGAGTGGCAACAAAGTCGGTGTCCTGGAAGGGACCTGGGGATTTTTGCCACTCGTCGAGGGTATTGCGCAGGACATCAAGGGGCTCAATGTATTCAACAACTTGACCCCAGACCAGCTCTTGCGTGGGCGAATCTAAAGCTCGCAGGTCGGCTAGCAAACCCGGGTGGGCAAAGGCCGGATCGAGCTCGAGTGAGAAGTGGTCCCAATCGCCTTGGGTGCAAACAGGCGGCGCTTCAGGGTGTACAGCAGGAGAAACAGAGGAAGCGGGACGAAAAGCCCCCCATCCACGCCTGCACTTGGCCGATGCCCCGATGTGCCTTTTAAGCCGCCCAATATTGGCGTAGAGACGCCCACAGGCCTTGCACAGAGGCTGTGCGCAGCCAGCAGCAAGAAGGGTAGAAGGTGCACGATAAGCGTGCAAGCGCGCCGCATGGCAGGCCCAAGCGGTACGACTTGGAAAGGCAATACGGCATGGCAGGCACGCCTCTTGATAGCGGAGCGTGGAGTCAGATGGGGGTTGGGCACAACCCGCAAGCTGTTCCAACGTGCGCCTGACAGCTTGCAGTGCAGCGAAACAAGACGTCCTAACAACCTCAAGACCCCTAGCCCGCTTAATGAGAGCCTTGAAGACGTGCGGGCGCTGCTTAAGCATAAGTTCCCACTCAGGCCAGGTCGACTCGGGGTCACCGAGGGGGGATGTGGCGCACACCCAACGGTAGACCCAGAGTAGGGCTTCGCGGACATGCGCAACATACGGCGGGTCGCGCCGTATGAGGGCCCATAGCGGCGCAGGTGCCGCATTGACAAGCTGCAGTATGTAGCGCGCACGCTCCGTCAGGAGCAACACTTCAGGAGGCGGTTGGCCAATCAGCGCACAGATTGTGGCATGTGAGAGGTGTTGGTCACCCCCGTGCGGAATGGCAAGCGTGTGGCGGTAAAGGGCAATGACCGTCCTGAAAAAGAAAGCGTGCTCTCCTTTGCTAAGAGCAGGCCAAGCGCCGGAAGCAAAAAGCAAACGGGTCATGACATGCGTGGAGAGAAGGAGCCCGCGCCGCTTGAGCGCGATCCGCCCTGAGCGGAAGACTCTGGCTCTGGTGCATCCCTGCTGGTAGGCAGCCCAAGCTTGCGAGGCCCTGTGCCGTAGCTCCGCAATGAGAGAAACAGCTGACGTGATCTTGACCCCTAAGTGGCGGTAGGAGGTAACGAGTGGGAGCTCGGCAGCTCCCTGTTCCTCACGCAAAACCGGTAGCACGGGCTTGGAGCTGAAGAGAGCGCGTCGCGTTTTGCGAGCGCCAGGGCCACGCGGAACAATAATCGCAGCGGTCTTCGTAGGGCCAAAACTAAGCTCGTACCCGTGGGCATAAAAGGCATCGGCAAGGAGTCCGCACTCGAAGGCGGCGGCGAAAGCCGCATTGTTCGCCTCGGGAGCGATGATGCACTTGGCAAGGTCGTCAGCCCAGATCACATCGCTGAGCCTGGTGGAGACCCGCCACGCAGAGGGATCGGCAGATGGCGGGGAGAAGTCACACAGGCCGTCCCACCATATCTCAGGCGTGTGTTCAATGTGCGGATGTGACGCTGCTGGGCAGGAGCGCGCGTCGTCTCGCCACCGCAGCATGCGCGGGATGGTGACACCGAAAAACAAGTCTGCAAAGCTCGAGCCAGGACGCGAGCCCTGACGAGTTACGATCGGCTGGTGGTCACCTGCTAGACACATCCAGGTGTTGCTGTTCAGTTCGGCCGTGAGAGCTTCGACCCAAGGAGGGGCCTGAGCCTGTGCCATGGCAGAGGGCTGCCGGAGGGCTTCCGCAAGATGATCGCGGTCGGGGCAAGAGGGTGGGCTCCCGACAGGATCTGGAGTCTTACGGGCAGTGAGGGCTCTGACAGCAGAATAATAAGCAGATGCAACGTCGGTGAAGAGAACAATGCTAGTCTTGCCGGCACAAGCACAGAACCTGGTAAAGGCGCGGGTGAGGTGGGAGCCCAAAACGACGGATGTCGCCTTGAGTCCGCCTAGCTGTGCCGGTGCAGCATTGCTCCTGAAGACCTCATAGAGACCAGGGCGGAAAGCTTTGTGAAGGAACTTAGCCAAAGTCGGGAGGAGCATAATGGCTCGGTAGCTGGCGCACTGAGAAGTGTCGCCCTTACCCTTGTAGAGCCGGCTAAGGGTCCCACCTTTGAAACCTATAGGCTCTTCGCAAGTAAAGCCTATCTTGACAAGGAGAGGCATAAGCAGCCGCACCAGGGCTTGAGGGGAGGCATGGCCAACCTCAGCCGGAAGGCCATCGGGCCCGGCCGCCTTACCTTTTTGCGAGGAGGCAATGACCTGCAGCAGAACATCAGGCGAGGGCATGTCGCTGAGAAGCGGGGGGCCAACAGGGCCAGCCTCCGCTACAGGTAGAACGGCGAGCTCGTGTGGCGAGGCTTCGAAACCATCTTCCTGGTCTCGGAAGTGTTCACGCCATCGGTGGACGACCTCATCGGGAGTTCGGCAAAGACTCCCGTCGGCCTTCTGGAGCATGGGTAAGACTTCTGGGCGGAAAGGCTTACGGCGTCGGAGGCCCATCAGACGATGGACTGCCTTACTGGCGTGGGGTGCGTCTCGCTGGACCTCGTCCGCGAGCTCGCTGAAGTATGTGGCCCGGTCTTGCTTGCAGGCTGCCTTGAGTCTGCGCGATGCTTCTCCAAGATGATGGCTCTGCTGGGCCCCCGCTCGATGAGCCTCCCGAGTCCAGGCGGAGTCGAGCATACGCATGAGGATGCGCCCGTCAGCGCCAGCCCATGCCTGGAAGGCGGCAGCGAGGAAATGAAAGTTCAGAGCGCATTTGATGCGCGTACAAGACTTCCTTAGCCTGGCGACCTCACTGTGCAGGGCCCAGGTGGAGTCAGAGAGGTAAGGCCTGTGCCGTCTGCCTGGCTGAAGAGGGAATGCAGTAGCTAGAGCATCTTGAAGATAACTCACAAGAGTCGCGGCATGTGCATGCGGATTGGCAGACCATGGAATCTGCGGGGCATGCTGCAAAATGCCTTCCACGGCCTCCCGCCCCTTGGGCGTGAGCATAGCCCGTCCATCGAATCGACGTTTGCTGCGGTGCCCGGGTTTGCCAGAAAGGTTGAGGGGAAGGTCGAGCTGACAGCATGTGGCAACATGGTCGATGGAAGTCTGCCCAGCATGGAGAGTGGAATCGGTCCACGTGCTGATGTTCCCACTTTTCCAGGCATCGGGACAGGCAATAAAGTCTATTCTCGACATAGCCCCATTCCTTTTCTGCATATATGTGCCGGACGGACCACTATGGCAAAAGGAAAAGGTACACGGCAGCCAAAGCTGTTGCGCAGCAAGAAATGACGCCAGCATGGCGCCTGACTCGTCCTGTTGGTCCGGGTCATGATCGCCGATGGCAGCGGTGGGCACGGAACCAACAGAAGCATTCATGTCTCCACCGAACAAGATCGGGGATGACTGCGCATGCCTGACACAGAGGCGATGGGTTTCCTTCCACCATTCATCGATGGCACTGACTTCGCATGCACGGTGCGGGGCGTGCGCTGAAACAATCAACAAACTGAAGCCGTCCTGCTTGAAAAGGAGCAGCAGGCGGCGCGGGTCGCGGTGCGCGACAACACATGCCTCTCTGGTTAGGCGCACACGGCCGGGGCCATGGTTGGAAGAGAAAAGCTGGTGGCCTTCCAAGATCCACACCTCGACACCGAGGGTGCCCCGAGTGCCTCCAGAGGCGAAGCGGAGGTAGCCCTGTGAATGCAGGACGCCCTCTTCTGTTCGCGTCTCCTGCAGCATTGCAATGTGGATGCCAGCGTCGCGGAGACTGTTGGCAAGGAGGGTGGGTCTTGCCGGCTGGAAGGCAAGTCCCTCAGCGGCGGGACCCTCTAGCGACTGGCTGTTAAGGGAGAGCACGTTGAAAGAGCAGACTCGCAACGAGAAGTGGCCCCAGCTGCTCTGACCGTCACTCGTACCTGGAGGGGCTGGGGTGGGCAGAAAAGGAGCGACAAGCTGCAGAGGTTCAAGGCCGAGAGTATCGCGGCAGGGCTGCAGGCCCTCAGCACAAGGGGACGGGTATGAGACATTGCGCGCAAAGCGTGCGATGGCAACAGATGCCCAACCCAGTGGGGAACCTCCCTGGTGCCACCAAGGCTGGGAGTTGTCAGGTGACCATTCCAACCGCCCGCATGGACGTCCTTTGGCCGCTGCTCGGGCAAGGCAGTCAGCAAGTTCGTTGCCAAGACACCCCTGGTGGCCTCTAATATGGGCAACCCTTGGACAGAAGTGCGAAAATTCGCGACAAAACAAGCCAAGACTGCGCAGCACAGCCGCAACCCCATCAGGGGCTCCTGCAAAAATGCCCTGAAATACACCGATGGCCGAGGTGCAGTCGGATCTAAGCACAATCTGGGAGTGATGGAACCGAGTGACACTCAGCCAGGCGGCAATAAGGAGGGCGTAACATTCGGCGATGAAAGCAGAGGGCTTGTCGACGGGGAAGGCCCAAGTAGGCACAAGGCCCGAGACAGCGACACATCGTCCGGAGTGGGGCGAGATGAAGACACATGCCCATGTGCAAGTGCTCTCAGGGTTTGGCACCCCGGCATCAAAGGAGCCATCCGTAAAACAGTGCGTGTCGGTTGACAGGAAATCACAGGAGCGCAGCTGGAGTGCGCGGCACTGCTCCAAATCCTTTTGACTGATAGCGAGGAGAATATCCCAGCCGTCCCCAAGGCTGCATTGAGGTAGAAGAAACTGCCTCAACTGCCCGCATGAGAAGGGCAAGCGATGTGCCCCCAGAAGGGGCTGGTCGTCGTCGTGGAAAGGTAGCATGTCCGGAAGGCTGGCTGGAGTCCACGGGCATGGCTCGAGTGCAAAGTCGAGCTGACTCCACAGGTCGCAGCTTGTCGGAGTCGTGTGGTCGCAGGCAATAGGGAGTGCGCGGCACAAAGACAGGGGGATGCGCAAGGGTGCCTGCATCTTACCCTGGAAGTGTTCAAAACAGGCTTCGAGAAGAGTGCTGGCCAGCATAAAAGCCGGGCAACCAGGTTCTCGCGCAGATTCCCACAGCAGGGTGCTGAGTGTGCCGATAGCAGAACTGGAGCCTGGGATGTCCTGCACGGGCCTGGTACAAGCGTAGCAGTCCCGGTTCACAAGGGGGACATGTGTTGGAATGCCGCTACCAGAGGAGACAGATGGCCCAGATTGAGGAGGAGGAGGGGGAGCACGGCACGGTGTAGGGAGGGGCCTGAGAGTCCTCGAAGTCCAGGGCGCGGAGACAGGCGGCTCCGCACGGTGGCGTGCTCTGGTGAGGGAGAGGACCCCAAACAACTCAGTGCCTGGTTTAGCCTGCTGACTAGAAAAGCTGCCGGCCAGTTGCATGGCTGTGCTGGGTTGCACGCAAAGGCTGGCAAAAGCTGCAACAAACTTGAAGCAGGGGGAGAGAGCAAGCCCACTGGGGCGGCGTCGTCACTGACCAGCAGAAGCAGTGACACAAACGGTGCACACAGCGGCCGGCCGGAAGGGACCACGGGAGGGTAGAGCTGCGGTAACAGAGGTGAGGTCGCTGGCACCCGGACGGAGGGTATCGTGCTTGAAGCCGGCAGAACTCCACATGTGTCGCATAGCTCTGTGCCCTTGGTGGGAAGGACCTCTTTCAACAGGGGGTGCAGCAGCAGAAACGTGGCGGGGATGATAAATTTCTCCGTCTGAGTGTGCCGAAGACTCGTCATCAAAGGACTGGTCGTCAGGAGTCTGCTCCGGCACCGGGCCATCAAAGAAAAGGTCCTCGCGCTGTGCGCGGTATTCAGCAGTGAAAACCCGTCCTCCTTCGACTGGGTGCAAGCCTGGGCCACTTGGTCTATCAGCGAGAAAGAGCTCCCAGAAGAAAGGAGCGCATTCCCCTAGCTCGGCTTCGAGCGCGTCGAAGTCGAGTTGACCCTGGGTTTCATGGTAGTGCCAGCCCTGAAGGATTGGGCGGCAGTCAATGATGACAACACTAGGGGGTTCTGCTGTGTGCGTGCTGCGAGATGCGCCGGCGGCTATCACATTACGGCAGGCATGACCATAGACAGCGCAGTCTAGAACCCGAGGTCTTGCCGAGACAATCTGCAGGCAACCAGGATCAAAGCCACAGGCTTCAGCAAGCTCAGCGCGAAAAGTCCACGGTGCAGCAGGGTTAACGGTGAAGAGGAAATGACCCTTGGAAGTCGCGCAGCAATAGCAAGGGCCCGGGTCCTGCGGAGGGTATGCCCTGTTGGGTACCCAGGTGGGAACTTGTCTGAGCATGGCCTTCAGGAAGTGGGCCTCCGGCCGCGGACTTGCCGAGGCAACAATGTAAAGGCATTGCCCTGGGAAAATCCGGCACTCGGCGACCTCAGTAAGGGGGTCCGAATCGAAGTAATTCCACACGTTGACAGGAGAGTCATGTGGTAACCCAGCTAGCCATAATACGGTTCGTCTTGAGACGAAAACAGGGCACTGCACAGCAAAAAGCCTTCCGTCAAAAGCACGGGAGTCAATGATGACAACCGAAGCCTGCGGATCCCAAAGGGGAAGGGCAAGCACTAAACCCCAACAGTCGGAGGGTTGGGGGAGGGCCGGGACAAGCACAGGGAAGCGTCTCTGCATGAGCGGGTCCCGCTCTGCCTGAACTAACTGTAGGACTTGATCTTCCTCGGCAGGGATGAGAGCACGAACTGCGACATTCTCCTGCACATAACCCGGCACAACGACTGCAAACGAGAGCAAGAGCGCAACTGGGAAGTCAGCTTCTTCTTCCGCGGGCGCGGGCGGCACAAGCTGCAGTCTTGCATCGACCTCTTCTGCGCTCGCATAACGCCATGGTAGCCCAAGGTCGAGCGCGAGTGCACGCAGTAGAGGTAGCGGATCAGTGGATGGGGAGCTCACTCCGCGAGGCTCAACCAAGAGTTTGGCATTTCGGGCAAGCTGCGCCTGGGGAGCTGAGCCCAGAGGGGCATGGTCTCCTCCGGGAGCGAAAGGCTCGAGGCCACATGCTCCATGACATGGGTCTAGGATGAGGATACGCGGCTGGGGGCTTTGGGCAACAGAGTCGGGGTTAAGGAGAAAGCTGCTGCCGCTACGGGGCATCCTCCCTAGAAAAAACAGACCATTGGTGCCTGCATGCAGAGAAACAGTAGTAGTAATAGTAGTAGTAGCAGTAGTAGTAGTAGTAGTAGTAGTAGTAGTAGTAGTAGTAGTAGTAGTAGTAGTAGTAGTAGTGGTATAGTAGTAGTAGTAGTAGCAGTAGTAGTACTAGTAGTAGTAGTAGTAGTAGTAGAAGTAGAAGTAGTAGTAGTAGTAGTAGTAGTAGTAGTAGTAGTAGTAGTAGTAGTAGTAGTAGTAGTAGTAGTAGTAGTGGTAGTAGTAGTAGCAGCAGCAGTAGTAGTAGTAGTTAGTATTTATTTTTTTCATTATTATCATTAACGTTAGCAGTAGCAATAACAGTAGCAGCAGCGGTAGTGATAGCCGTAGCGGCGGTGGTAACGGTTAACGGTGGCCTTAGCGGTAGCGGTAGGGTCGTGGTCGCGGTCGCGGTCGTCGTAGTGGCGGTGGTGGTAGTAGAATCGGAAGTAGTAGCAAACCGCTTTCGACCTTAAACTTCAAACCCCATGCCTTAAGCTCGCAACCTCAAACCTTAAACTTTAAACAATCAACCTAAAGCTACCCTGTGTCAGTGCTCGACCGTCATACCGCAAGACCCCACCGTTGGGGTCGCTTTGTCCGAAGTGTTCACGCACTTGGAGCTCTTTTCCATTGCGACTTTGTATCAATCTGGACTATTTGGTAGTTTCCGAAAATAGGGGACCCTACTACAGTACCCTAAATAGTAGGATCCTTACTATAAGGACCCCAAAATAAGGTACCCCTAACTCTCGGAAGCTCCCATTTCTAGGAGCCCTAAACCTGGGAGGAAGAGCGACTACATGAGAGTCGTGCCTGTAGTCAGTCCCAGCAAGGCCCCAAAACACATTCATGGCTTTGAGTATCGGCGGGATCGCTATGATTGTCTTCGTACTAAACATGTCGAACATGTAAATATAATATGTATCCCGTACATGCCTAACGAACCTAACACATGTATATTCTCTAACATCATGTACATACATGTATGTAGGAATATATCTGTATATAGATATACGTACATATACGTATATATATGCATATGTATATGTATATGTATATATATATACACACCTTGTAGGCATCTGTTGTATATCTTGTTTGCCAGAATACATATATTTTCGTAAAATTTACAACCTGTCATTTTGTAATCCCCTGTCAAGTTTTACTGTAAACACAAAGCGAAAACACTCAGTTGCATATCCCGCCACATCCCATCATGTCGCGTCACATTAACCGATGCTATTAGTATGTCTTACCTCGTCATCTGTTATAGTACGACATGCGATATACAGAAAAATATAGATATGGTTTTTGAATACAGTACACTCTTTATACAAAAGCGTGACTTAATACGATGTCAATAAACTCTGTCATATCTTATACCTCAACATCCTATCATGTTATTATACTATACGACACTGCGCTTGACCACTCTCTACTGTGCTATGCTCAATTGCGCTATGCTATACTGTGCTGCGCTGTAATGCCAGTGTAGCGAGACATAACACACGATGATGCGTCGTGGTGTAACATTACATGAGCTAGTATCATTACATGCGTCGATTTCCAACATGTGTAATGTATACTCACTCTTATGGTTTTGGCACACACACACACTAAAGGACAGCTCGCTTCAAGATAAGAGTTTTAAGCCAAGACAGGTAAAATAAAGTGATGTAAGATAGCAAAATGTACAAGGAAACACATGAAACCTGCGATAGCTGTGGCTGTTAGCAGATCAAAAGTCACACAGTTCAAGATCACAAAATGGCAGTGCAAGGCAGAGTGGTATGACAAGAAATGAAACCAGATGTTACAAGGTAATGCATGAGAGTACAAGATATCATCAGCTGGTGAAAGATAAAAGTGTATAGGACAAAAAGGGCAAGAAGACAAGGTTGCAAAGTGTACTTGACTTACTACAAGACAAAATACAATAGTACAAGGCAGCAAGCGTTAATACAGGACAAGTGCAAGCTAATATTCCGTATCCTAAGAAAATAAGAATTACGATGGGATTGTATGTTGTAACATACTAGTACATCTATAACCCAATACGGTATTGTACAGTATAGTACAGCAAAGGACAGTATATTAAAGCATAGTAACATGTTTTATGTTATGCAATGACAATCTTTTAATGTAAGAAAACAACGTGTAGTATAAGGCAATGTAGACTTATACATCGTAGTACGGCAAAATATGAACATATGGTATAACGCGGACAATTCGTTCTCAATTCATCTTTGTATCCTAGCAGAAGATACCATAGCACAATCTCATTATAACATGGCATAATCAGGATAGCATGCTATAGTCTGTTTCTAGTAAAAGCAGCATCACATAGCGACACGCAGCACGACATACCATAGCATAGCAACACAGCGCCTCATAACATAACGTAAATACCATGATGTATTTCCAGAGCATGTTTGGTTTCAGGGCTAAGGCTTAAGGCTTTAACTGTCGTGGGGATCCTCATCGTCATGAGCCAGCATCATCATCAGCAGCACCACACCAGCACCCCGCCAACAGCACCGCTGCACCTGGCGAGTGCTTCAATCGCCCTGAAACTTCAAGCCTAAGCTTCAAAGACCTGACAACAAACACGAAGCTGGAAGGTCTCAGCGTCAGGGTTAAAGGTTGAGGGCCATGTGCATTCAGCCCCAAACCCAGAAGCCTACGCCCTACATGGTAGGATCTTTTGCGCACTGTTTACAAGAAATGTGCGAAGAGCCACGGATACATGTCACGTCGAGACCCTAGCCCGTCCGAGCCGTACCAACCATAATTGGCCCGGGTTGTAACCTCTACAGAAACCCTAAACCCTAAAC